CCACTTGTGCCAAGACAATGATATATAAGTTGCATTGTATTCAATGGGAAGTGTTATCACTATAATTCCTAGTACCCTTTAAAAATGAAATAATATTCATTTAATGTGAAGAATTGTGAGGTTTTATTCTTTGCATCATAAATTTAAAGGCATCTTTATCTTCTTCAGGCTACAGTACATATAACATTGAGCAGTCATTCATATTACATACTCAGATGTCTGTATAAGCACATCAATCTTTTAAGATTCATTACTAGCTTATCTTTTTGCTAAGAACATCTCTGCTCAAGTGTTTTGTATTTCATGGGCTACAAGATGAAATGCCAATTCTACTGGATGAAATGGAAGAGCCATTCTAGCCTGGAGCCTGATGTGAAACATAGTAGAAATTGGAACATTCCTAAAGAAGAGAAATCAGCTTCTTTAAGAGTCAGAGCAGTAAACCACTACACTTTTAGTCTTGATATTCATTGAACACAGATAGAGGTGAAATGTCCTATTTAACGTGATAAAGTAAAAAGTTCTGGCCTGTCATACACTTGCATTGCAAACTTTATACTAACTTTATTTATTTAACAGCTCACATTCTCAAGGCATTTTGCCTTTAGGACTAGTCTATTATGCAGGAATTGTACCACTGACCTTTATTTTTTCAAGCTTCTCTTTCTTAACACTGTAAATATCTTTCAGAGGAACAGCCGTGTTAGTCTGTATTCGCAAAAAGAAAAGGAGTACTTGTGGCACCTTAGAGACTAACCAATTTATTTGAGCATGAGCTTTCGTGAGCTACAGCTCACTTCATCAGATGTTTACCGTGGAAACTGCAGCAGACTTTATATACACACAGAGAATATGAAACAATACCTCCTCCCACCCCACTGTCCTGCTGGTAATAGCTTATCTAAAATGATCAACAGGTGGGCCATTTCCAGCACAAATCCAGGTTTTCTCACCCTCCACCCCCCCACACAAATTCACTCTCCTGCTGGTGCTAGCCCATCCAAAGTGACAACTCTTTACATAATCAAGTCGGGCTATTTCCTGCATAGATCAAGGTTTTCTCACATCCCCCCCACCCCCATACACACACAAACTCACTCTCCTGCTGGTAATAGCTCATCTAAACTGACCACTCTCCAAGTTTAAATCCAAGTTAAACCAGAACATCTGGGGGGGGGGGGGGGGTAGGAAAAAACAAGAGGAAACAGGCTACCTTGCATAATGACTTAGCCACTCCCAGTCTCTATTTAAGCCTAAATTAATAGTATCCAATTTGCAAATGAATTCCAATTCAGCAGTTTCTCGCTGGAGTCTGGATTTGAAGTTTTTTTGTTTTAAGATAGCGACCTTCATGTCTGTGATTGCGTGACCAGAGAGATTGAAGTGTTCTCCGATTGGTTTATGAATGTTATAATTCTTGACATCTGATTTGTGTCCATTTATTCTTTTACGTAGAGACTGTCCAGTTTGACCAATGTACATGGCAGAGGGGCATTGCTGGCACATGATGGCATATATCACATTGGTGGATGTGCAGGTGAACGAGCCTCTGATAGTGTGGCTGATGTTATTAGGCCCTGTGATGGTGTCCCCTGAATAGATATGTGGGCACAATTGGCAACAGGCTTTGTTGCAAGGAAAAGTTCCTGGGTTAGTGGTTCTGTTGTGTGGTATGTGGTTGTTGGTGAGTATTTGCTTCAGGTTGCGGGGCTGTCTGTAGGCAAGGACTGGCCTGTCTCCCAAGACTTGTGAGAGTGTTGGGTCATCCTTTAGGATAGGTTGTAGATCCTTAATAATGCGTTGGAGGGGTTTTAGTTGGGGGCTGAAGGTGACGGGTAGTGGCGTTCTGTTATTTTCTTTGTTAGGCCTGTCCTGTAGTAGGTAACTTCTGGGAACTCTTCTGGCTCTATCAATCTGTCTCTTTACTTCTGCAGGTGGGTATTGTAGTTGTAAGAAAGCTTGACAGAGATCTTGTAGGTGTTTGTCTCTGTCTGAGGGGTTGGAGCAAATGCGGTTGTATCGCAGAGCTTGGCTGTAGACGATGGATCGTGTGGTGTGGTCAGGGTGAAAGCTGGAGGCATGCAGGTAGGAATAGCGGTCAGTAGGTTTCCGGTATAGGGTGGTGTTTATGTGGCCATTGTTTATTAGCACTGTAGTGTCCAGGAAGTGGATCTCTTGTGTGGACTGGACCAGGCTGAGGTTGGTGGTGGGGTGGAAATTGTTGAAATCATGGTGGCATTCCTCAAGGGCTTCTTTTCCATGGGTCCAGATGATGAAGATGTCATCAATATAGCGCAAGTAGAGTAAGGGCTTTAGGGGACGAGAGCTGAGGAAGCGTTGTTCTAAATCAGCCATAAAAATGTTGGCATACTGTGGGGCCATAATTCCTGCTCCCTCTGCACTGTGTAAACACAAGCTCTATTAATTTAACTGGGAGCAGGAGCAGGTCCTTGTTCTGATAATACTGTATTTTAGGTGAATTCAGCCTGATCCTGCAAACCCTGAGTAGATTTGGGGACAATTTTTATACCTTCAAGTCAGGGGCACTTCTATGGGTACCCACATGGCTCCACAGTATGCCAACACTTTTATGGCTGCCTTAGAACAACAATTCCTCAGCTCTCATCCCCAAGCACCACACTGATGACATCTTCATCATCTGGACCCATGGGAAGGAGGCCCTTGAGGAATTCCACCAGGATTTCAACAATTTCCACCCCACCATCAACCTCAGCCTTGTCCAGTCCACAAAAGAGATCCACTTCCTGGACACTACAGTGCAAATAAGCAATGATCACATAAATACCACCCTATACCGGAAATCTACTGACTGCTATACTTACCTACATGCCTCCAGCTTTCATCCAGACCACATCACATGATCTATCGTCTACAGCCAAGCTCTAAGATACAATCGCATTTGCTCCAATCCCTCAGACAGAGACAAACACCTACAGGATCTCTATCAAGCGTTCTTAAAACTAGAATATCCATCTGCTGAAGTGAAGAAACAGATTGACAGAGCCAGAAGGGTACCCAGAAGTCACCTACTACAGGACAAACCCAACAAAGAAAGCAACAGAACGCCACTAGCCATCACTTACAGCCCCCAACTAAAACCTCTCCAGCGTATCATCAAGGATCTACAACCTATCCTGAAGGACGATCCCTTACTTTCACAGACCTTGGGGGACAGGCCAGTCCTTGCTTACAGACTGCCACCCAACCTGAAGAAAATACTCACCAGCAACCAAACACCACACAACAAAAATACTAACCCAGGAACCAATCCCTACAACAAATCCCATTGCCAACTCTGTCCGAATATCTATTCAAGGGACACCATCATCGGACCTAACCACATAAGCCACACACCATCGGGGACTCGTTCACCTGCACATCTACCAATGTGATATATGCCATGTGCCAGCAATGTCCCTCTGCCATGTACATTGGCCAAACCGGATGGTCTCTACGCAAAAGAATAAATGGACACAAATCAGACATCAAGAATTGCAACATTCAAAAACCAGTAGGACAACACTTCCATCTCCCTGGACACTCAATAACAGAATTAAAAGTGGCAATTCTTCAACAAAAAAAATTCAAAAACAGACTTCAACGAGAAACTGCAGAACTGGAATTAATCTGCAAACTAAACACCATCAAATTAAGCCTGAATAAAGACTGGGAGTGGATGAGTCACTACAAAAAGTAATTTTCCCTCTGCTGATACTCACACCTTCTTGTCAACTGCTGGAAATGGGTGACATCCACCTTGATTGCATTGGCCTCGTTAGCACTACAAAAGTAATCAACTATTGAGAATAGGTCACTTCTACCTTAATTGAATTGGCCTCGTTAGCACTGAGCCCCCACTTGGTAAGGCAACTCCCATCTTTTCTTATATATACTGCTTACTGTATTTTTCACTCCATGCATCTGATGAAGTGGGTTTTAGCCCACAAAAGCTTATGCCCAAATAAATGTGTTAGTCTCTAAGGTGCCACAAGGACTCCTCGTTGTTTTTGCTGATACAGACTAACATGCTACCACTCTGAAACCTGTCACCCAAATGTATACAGCATTGGGTTCTTAGTGATGTACCTTTAAAAATACCATCTCTATCTTGTGCAAATGTACAGCATATCTCAGACTTTGCTGACCTGGCTAGAAAATTTTAAGATTTGCTTGTATTCATCAGATGCCAATGGCAACCTATATACTGAAGCAGTTGTCATGACAACTCAATTAACTAAATAAACATAGCTGTGTGCAGTAGCAGATCCAGTCCTGTGCATCATCTCTACCTCAGCCCAAGAGCTCTGAATAGCTGTGCACAAGAATCTGCGCATTTTACTTTGGGCAGCAGGAATATTGATGTATCATATAGTGTTGCCCACTGTGACCGAATTTGTCTATTTCCCCTGACATTATTAACGGGACCACAGCCAGAGTCCATCTTTGGAGGCACTGAAACCCAGGTCAGGTTATTGTCATCTTCCCAATTGCTTCTCCGACTCTGTCCTATTGATTTCAGTGGGAGTTTTGCCTTAGCAAAGAGGAGTGGGCAAACTGTCAGCATCCTCTTCCTGCTGCTAGTGCAGAGTTTGTAGGACAATACTTTGCACTAGTGGGTAGTTAGTGGGAAATGCAGGCATGGCCTATTGCTTTACACCAAAGAAAGGAATATCAGCATTATTTTAACACCATTTGCATTACTACAGTTAAGATGGCATCTTCTTTTCCCTTATAACTGTTTTTAGTTCAAGGGATTCTAATATGCCTGTAAAAATAATCTGAGGCTGAAATCTGACATGTAGTACTAGGGCTCACCCTGGGAAAATGTTTTCCTCCAATAGTTTTAGATGTGTACAAATACAGGCCCCGCTCCTCTTTCCACTGAAGTCAACGGCCAAACTTCAGTGAGAGCAGGATCAGATACGCACAAGGCCAAGATTTTTTTAAATACATGTGAAATAAATACAGAAATTAAACTATTTAGGGCTCATTAATCTATCAGCACTTTATTTTTTGTAATCCAATACAGGCATTAAAACGGGACAATTTCTGATTCAGAAAATCAAATAGTAACGTTTGAAAAATAATTTAAACCAACTGTTTACACTGATGTGCCAGTCCCACAGCTCACAGTTTGCTGCTTCTTCCCTGGTATAGCGATATATACTGCTCCATGAAACTCTTCTCAGAGGATGAAATTAAGTTGTCAAAATCATACGGAATTGCAAATGTAGGTTTCTTTTCAAAAATTACAAGAGCAAGAAATACAGCAAAGTGTGCAGTGAGTCCCCATATCCTAAGTGATGTTTTACGCTCAGGGTCATCATATACAAAACTGTGCAGCCAACTTGCAACACCATCTGCTCTTTTATAAGGCAAGGTCATGTACTTTAACGGATCGATAAAGTACTCCAGTGGCACCAAAAACACATCACTCACTTCATCTGGATTAGGTCTGGCCTGGAATGTGTCCTCTATAAATCCTACAACTGGCGTTACCAAAGAACCCACCTGAAAGGAAGAAAAAACATGAACTTGTTTGAAATACTTAGAAGAAAATCCTGTTTTTTTTCAAATGTTTTAGAAAATCTATCTACAGTATAACAAAATCATCACTGTTGATAACCTATGAAACAATCATACTTGTGAAGCCGTTTCGGGCCCTAATTCAAAAATTACATAGTTAAGCATTTATGTACTTTTTAGCATTGATATCAATGTAACTACTTATGTGTTTCAACTTACGCAGGTGCTTATGCACCTTGCTCATTTGGGACACACATCAGTGTTTATATTCTCTGCACACTGCTACCAATACAGGGCAACAATCACACACACAAGTGAGTCTGATATTCCATACAGTAGAGGTCACTGATAAACTGTAAGGCATTCACAAGCAGCCTATTCGTACAGATTATAAATATGAAAACCTGACACATACTGTTACAATGAAAGCCAACCATCATCACTTGTAGAGTCAGCAAGGAAATGTTATTGTTCCAAACACAAGGGTCACAATCTGCTCTCAGTTACTCTAGTGTAAATCTGGATAGACTATTTACATCCAATCACTCTGGATTTATATCAAGGTAACAGAGCAGAATAAGACAGGTAAGGGTGTTTGTAGACCAAGATCCATCAGGTAACCAAGTATATTTTTATTCAATTGATTACATTACACCATTTTTATATCAACCTTAAGAATTCTCAAAATGAAATTGGTTGAGACCCTACAAAAGTAGATAGTGCTGTAACAGAGAGCACTAAAAGTTAACATTTTTGGTATACTCAAATGTATATTTCAAATTATTATAATGCATAATGATATATTGAATGATGCACTTATCAGGAAAATATTTAAGAAAACTGTTGTAACAGCTAGACTTGTCCTTTCTATGAATTTTTGTGCTTTAAAGCTACCTTTACCTAAATACTTCAAGTTTCAAAATATTACATAATGCATGTTTCCACTGTACTCCTAGGAGCTACTACTTTCATCTTCTTATCTGGCAGGATAAAACTAACAGTAAGAAGACTAATATATAAATAAATAAACACAAATTAGAGCATTAACAGAAGATAATTGTGACCTATACATAAAAATATGAAAAAACTTGCTTTGAAAATGTAGCACTTTATATCTTTTCTCTAGTATGTGAAAACTGTTCCCATGAGAGAGATAGCTAGAGCCTAGAAGCTTGAAAACGTAACACTGATTTACACCTCAAAAGACATCTCCAGAACAGAGGAAGTATACTGGCTGCATTCCTGTTACAAAGTAAAAGGTCACTCATTGCTACAGGTTTGAAATGTCAGTGATAAGCTTATAGAAGTGAAATGCAATTTTCAGCTTGTTTCCTCATAATATTCAGAGTTGTTTGATTCTTTTTGGTACACCTTACTTTATCAATTCCAGGTACAAGCCTACAGATGACCTCCACCTGCTCTGGATAGAGTCCCACTTCTTCCTTGGCTTCCCGGAGAGCAGTGGCTATTTCATCTCTATCTGTTGGCTCACTTTTACCTCCTGGAAAGCACACTTCCCCTGGTGATCTTCTCAACTGGAAATTAAAGGAGTATTATTAAGTATCATGAGTTTTCTGATTTCATCTTAAATCCTTGTGTCCACAAAATTACTCCAAATTATTGTAGATCCTTCTAATCAACAAGGCTGAGAACTGGAACAAGAGCTCTACAGGTGAGAAGAGAAATGCATAGTCAGAGCTGTATGAGGAAGCTTTCTCAACATCTGAACATGGTGTCTATATCTTCCCAGTCTAGGTCCCTCACTTTCAGCATCACACAAAAGAAGAGGCATTTTTATAGTAATGTGTTACCTTTTATCATCATATGCTTTATATTGTATACTTTCCTTTAAAATTTATAACCACATTTCAAGGCCTTTTGCCATCTCTGCCTCACATAAGAGATTGAAAAAGCTCTTTGGAACTATCTGTCACTAAAATGGTTACTTTTGCATGGTCAAACAAAATAATTAAATATGCAAGGTACAGAATTCATTAAAAAAACCAAAATCAACAGCAGAAAAACACCTCTGAATAAGTAATGTCTCTATATTATATTTATTTGAAGTTTCACTTTAATAATAGTGAGTTCTATGAACGAACCAGAGCCTTTGTTAGAAAGCTCATTTACCATCAGTGTGTCTGCTCAGTTATTGTAAGCGCAGTTATTACAGTGTCAAGATTTTTAAGTAGGAACATTATTACTGCATCTTTCAAGAGATGTTGCACCTCTCAGAAGCCGAAAAAGCAGCCAGGTAAATTACTTATCAAAGAGTACAGACAGTAGACCTAGGTATAATATGTAACAATAATAGTTTTAGAAAGATATCACTGGCACAAAATGGAGAGGAAGGTAGATTTGGTCTCTCACATCTAGAAGTGAAGAAAGAGACTGGAAAAGTAATGTTAGATACAACCTTAGGAATCAAATTGGTAAAAACTTTATTGCACAGGTCAAATTTTTGTTTTAATTAAATTCTGTGGGAAACTGATCAATAGTCCCCTTTACTCTGACTTGGAAACTTGTATCAGACTTTACAGAAACATCCAAATTATTGTTGTGTATCTGGAAAGTAAACATCAGTGATCAATGTTAGCATGTGCAAATAAAGAGGTGTGTATGGATATTTTGGTTGCATACATGTGTGAAGACTATACTCTAAAACCATGCAGTAACAATTAAGATTTGTACATAGAGACTAATACTTGGATAAGAATATGGGTTAATATGAGTATCAGCTGAGTGCTTTCCTTCCTTCACTTTTTCTTTCCACACAGCTTAATCTTGCAACACACTTTCTCATTTTACTTTTGATGTTATACAGTTGGCTTTGACCTTCTGGTTCACATACCTTCATTGATCTGACAGTAAATAGCACATGCAGCTTTCCATCTTTAACCATTAGAGGCATAAGAACAGATGCTTTGGCTAGTGGCAAATGGGAGAATTTGTTTCCAACATCATATTTTCTTAAATTGATCTTGGCCTTATCTTTCATACTTCTGCTAAAAAAACACACAAAAATGCTCCATAACTAAACAGAATGCTTATCCTACTCCTTAAGAATATAGGAAAGATTATAATTTAGGATTTACAAATACCAGAGCTGTCAAAAATATTATGTCCTGTTTTTCAAAATTATCAGGTAAACATAATTAAATATGGTCCTCATACAAGCCTGCAATTATTTTGAATCCAACCTACTGATCATCATTATCTCATTCCCAAAGCAACATGGACTTAATTTTTCTGATTCATATAAAAGTAATCAGTTCGTATTAATTGAATTATATACCAGACATATACTATTATACACAAGCTACATACACAGAGCAACATTAGCAAATATAACACTGCCATAGTGTGTTTTTATATTACAGCATTTAAAAACACCCTCTTAAATATTCATTAAAAAAGTGTATACAGTGAGCATTAAACTTCCCATCCCCCCATTCTAAATTGCATATGATTGTGCACTTACATAATTAAAGCTTTTTGGACCCAATTTAAGATAAGACTCTACCCAGCTCAGGGTGTTTATGGGAACAGTATTGCTCAACATATTCAACACAGTTAATGAAACAGTAGTTACCAAAGAAAAATCTTAAAGGTGCATGACTGGAAAATGAGTCTGTGTTCTGCCACATCTGACAGCCCCATTTAGAAGGCAGAATTGTTCTGTGCATAGGCCAGTGTTTCCCAAACTTGGGTCACCACTTGTTCAGGGAAAGCCCCTGGCTGGCTGGGCTGGTTTGTTTACCTTCCGCGTGTGCAGGTAAACAAACCGGCCTGGCCCGCCAGGGGCTTTCGCTGAACAAGTGGCGTCCCAAGTTTGGGAAACATGGGCATAGGCTACTGGATTGGGACTCAGGGGAACTGGGTTCATTTCCCAGCTCTGCAATAATTATCCTATGACATCTTCATCTAGTCACTTAATCTCTCTGCCTCAGGATCCCACCTGTAAAATACTTCATTTAGGAGCCAGCATGGTTCAGTGGAAAGGATACTAGACTTGGAGCCAGAATTGGATTCCATTCCCGGTTCTGTCATTGATGTTGGACAAGTCACTTCACATCTCTTTTTTGGTTTTGCCATATGCAAAATGGGAATAATGCCACCTCATGAGGGTTAGGTATATTAGTTAATAGGCCTGATCCTGACTGCTACTGAAATAAATAGCAAAACTAGGACTGGGCATATTGTACTGCACTTAATGCATACAACCTCAAGGCAACTTGACAGTCATGGAGACTACACCTTGAATTAAGAAGAATAATTTATGATGCTTATGTTTTGCTAACTGTCAACAGGGAGATGTCTTATAAAGCATAGTAGAAAAGAAAGAAAGGCCCAATCCTGAAAACTCACACAAGTAACTTTACACACCTGAGAAGTCAATGGGATTACTTGCAAGCACAATCTTGCCTCTCAGTCAAGATGTAATATCAAAGGACTGCAATGCAGTCTATTCTGAAGAACTTATTACTCTTGTACAAAAATACATTACAATACTTTTCTTAGTATTTCTTCTATGAAGTATTTTAAATAATTTAAAGTAGACTGCTCAAACTAGTCAAATACATTTTGAGTAACAAGGTTTTACTTTAGACCCTCCTCCTTTGTATTAAGAAAGGATGACACATAAAGCTGATTACCCCAAAACACGTTACTTAAAATTTAAAAAAAACCCTGTATTTACATACTTCACGTAAAAAGAAAAGGAGTACTTGTGGCACCTTAGAGACTAACCAATTTATTTGAGCATGAGCTTTCGTGAGCTACAGCTCACTTCAGCTGTAGCTCACGAAAGCTCATGCTCAAATAAATTGGTTAGTCTCTAAGGTGCCACAAGTACTCCTTTTCTTTTTGCGAATACAGACTAACACGGCTGTTCCTCTGAAACCTGTCATACTTCACATAAATTCTGTGAATATTTTTATTGGCTACAATACAGGCATTTATCTTTATGAAAAAGGTTGGTAACCCACTACACTTTTTATATTAACCTGAAGAGAGACAGTCCCTACACCCAGGCGCATACAATAGAGCGGGTGTAATCAATAGACAGAATGCGGGTCAAATCTGGACCGGCAGACATTTTTGAATGGACACAGAAATCTTTTTATTTACTTAATCATTAGAGGTTTATTATTTTCTTCCCTGGAATCTGAACCTTGACTATGACCTGACAAAGAAATCTGGACCTTGACAAAAAACAATTGACTACCCCTGCAATAGAGAATGGATGGTCCAGTGGCTAAGACGCTAGGAACTGGGAAAACTGGCTTCAAATCCCTGCTCTCCCACAGACTTTCTATGTGGTCTTAGATAAAATTTAGACAACAAATCCTACATCGTGGCAGGGGGTTAAAACCAGATGACCTCTGCGGACCTTTTAACCCTGTAATTCTAAGTCACTCAGGGTACACCTACACTGAAGCAAGATGGCATAGATGTACATAAACCAGCTTGCTAAAAATATCAATGTAACCATGACAGCACAGATGGTGGCACAAGCTAGCTGCTCAAGTATGTACCTAAGTCTTGGACTCTGCTCAAGTATGTACCTAAGGTTTGTACTGAGGCAGCTAGTCCACTACTATTTTTAGCATGTTAGCCTGCTCAAAGCTAGTGCATGTATATCTACCTGAGCTGGAAATTGCACTTCTACCTGCAACATACATGTACCCTTAGGCCAGGGTATATCTACGCTGCAATCAGACATCCGCAGCTGGCCCATGCCAGCTGACTCCGGCTCTTGGTGATCGGGGCTAAGGGGCTGTTTAATTTCTGTGTAAACTTCCAAGTTCAGGCTGGAGCCCAAGCTCTAGGACCCTGTGAGTCCCAGGTGCCCAAGTCAGCTGGCACAGGCCAGCTGCGGGTTTGTCTTTGCAATGTAGACATACCCATAGTCTTTCTGTACCTCTGTTCTCCATATGTAAAATGGGGATAACACTTCCCGACCTCACAGGGGTGAGGATAAATACATTAAAAGACTGAGGGGGGGAGGGCATACACAGAGCTCTACCATCACAAAGGAACACGCTTGAAGTGCCCTAATTCGGCAGGGATTTGTGGTCCCATGCCATAGAAAAGGAGCACGCAGGGATGACCCTGTATGCACGTACACCCAGAAACTGGGACCAGAGTCACTAAATCAGTTGCGGGGTTCACATCTTGAGCGACTGGAGGTCAAGGGCGTGTGTGTGCGCGCGCGTGAGATCTTGGTAAAAACCTACGCAGGTCACCAGAAAACAGGGCACCCTGGTACTGACAGAAACGGCCGCACCCCGACTTGCGCCGGAAGGAGCGAGTGTGAGATTTACAAGCCTGCCGCGATGTCGGTGCCAGCGAGGCAAGCCCGGGAAGTGCCTCTGGGAGTTAGGCACCCGAGTCCCTTTAAAAGCCTGGCCCTAAGGCCTGACCTACGCTACAGCGAGGCTGATCCCACTACATCGCTGGGTCACCCCCCGTCCCTGTGCGACCCCCAGGCCTGGGGGCAGACGGTGCTGAGCGGGCGGGGAGGTCGCTTAACTACAGCGCCGGGACAGGCTCCGCGCTGGACAGGCACTCCCGCGCCCCAGGGACCGGCAGCGGGGGGCTGAGAGCTCTCACGGCTTCTGAGGGGGGGATGGGAGAAATCCGCCTGGCCCCACAGCTGCCCCGCCCCTCGTCACGGGCCGGTGCGGTAGCCGGCGCCCTAACCACGGGGCCTGTTACCTTCCCCGCTCATCCTCAGCGTCTCTCAGAGCCGCCATCTTTCCTATCCACCCCAGGCCCCTGTCCTGAGGGAAAACAGCTCGGGGATGGAGGAGGGACAATTCCCCCACCTTTGCCACGCAATTCGTCCGCTCTCATTGGTTGGCAGCTGTGTTTCCCCAATGAGCGAGCACAGCTGCCCAGCGCTAGCTTCTCATTGGCTAGAGAGGCAGAGGCGAAGGCGGGGCGGGGGAGGGGGACGAGTCCATGGGCGGACGGGGGAGGTAAATAGACCCCATGCTACGCCAGCCTGCGGGGAGAGTTTGGAATGCGCCTGGTTTAGGATCAGTCAGAGCCCTGGGAGGGCTCGCTCGACCATCTAGTGGCCTGGGCGAGGCTCTGCGGCTCCTGACCTGATCGGAGCCTGGTTGTGCCACATCGAACTCCCTGGCGAGCTTCCTCCCTCACTTTTAACCAGTCCCAGCCCCCTCAACGGGCTAGTGCCAGAAACTCCAGTGCAGAAGCCCCACGTGTGGGGAGTGGGGTTGGTTACAGATTTTTCCACTCTTTTTGTGATCATCTAGTGAGTCTAGCCGCCTTTGCATGGTATTTCACCCTGTCACTGCTGCAGCGAATCCCACTGGTGAATCAGTCCCCTCCTTTTAAATAAGGTGCACAGGCCGGGTAAGCGCTACAACCCACGCCTGAGGCACCCGGTGCGAAAAGTCAGCTAGGCAGTAGCGCTGCTTCTCCCGTCAGCCTTGATAGGGACTGGAGTCGGTGATCGGCTATCGCTAGTTTACATGGGCCCAGCCGAGAGTCAGCTCTGCTACTACTGGTCCAGTCCTATTATTGCCGATCCAATCCTGCAGCTGTCCCCATGCAGGCCACAGAAGATTCAGGTGAGGAAGCCAAAGCAAAACACGTCCCTTGGACAGATAAAGTTGGACTCCCTTAGATAAAGATACATGGCCAAAATCCATTATTTGTACAGTCAGGGTGCCTCTCAACCAGGCATATCCTACACTCTGTTTGCCAGAAGCTGGGAATGAGCAACGGGATGGATCACTTGACGATTCCCTGTACTGTTCATTCCCTCTGGGGCACCTGGCAATGGCCACTGTCGGAAGACAGGATACTGGGCTAGTTGGACCTTTCGTCTGACCTAGTAGGGCCGTTCTTATGTTCCAATGCCTATGTCCTTTCACGAAAACAGTAATGACAATAATCTATCATCACATTTACTCAACAAATTCCCACCAAAGGGACAAAACTCAGTAAGTGAATTATGGGTAAACAAAATGGTCTGTAAATGAAGTTGTCCAGAGATGTCTTTTTGTGTTCTCCCCAACAGAGGGAGCAGAAATAGCCATGCTCTAAATCTTCTGGTTCTGGGTTTACAACCTCCAAAGAGTTACAAAATAGATTTTATCATTTTCCAGTTATCCTTGTAGTCTGTTCTGGGTTTTGATTTCTACACTGTATATACACAGTTAGGATTTAGCTTCAAATACTGATTAGTGATGTATAAACACTTCATTGAACAATAATCTTTCTATCGTAGTTGGTAATGGGTTGTGTGTGGTTGAGCATTGGCTCTGCCCCATCACACTGGCCAGCTATTCCGAGGCATGCAGAGGGAAGTTATTTGTACTAGGTATTGGGTGCGCACAGTTTACTTTCATTCAGGGAGCAAAGGGAAACCAGGGACCAGATTGTGACTCAGCTCCTGGGGCAAAGCACTCTCAGCATTGACCTAACTCTTCCCACGGAAGTCAGTGGTAGAACTCCCATTCAGAATGGTGACATTTTTCACCCATTTTGCTTAATTGTAAATGGCTCCCCAAGGCGCAAGGCAGCCTAGAATCGGGCCCTAATGGTTTCATTTCCAGTAGCCAACAACTGAAATAGTTCAGCTTGAACTTTGTTGAGAAAAGTTAAAAACTGCTCTTTCTCTTTAATGCCGAAGAAGCCGATTCATACATTTCCATTTAACGCAGACGGTTCTTCTTCCACAGTCTTGACTTTTTCTGTAGATGAACCATTCTAGGAGGAGATTAAGAAAATCTGACACCACATGCTTGAAAGTATTAATTTACAATTAGCACGAATTTTGTGCTTTCTGTTACTGTGTCATTTGGCAAATTCAGCTTTAAATAGGCATCGGTCAGAGAAATAAGCTTCTAGATTGTGGGAATTGGAAAAAAGATCTTAGTTTTCAATAGCCTAGACAGGCCTTTGAATTAATTTTTCTGGAGTACACATCATGGCTTTCAGTCATCTCTGTTACATGTAGGTAGTGGAACAGAGTGGGTGTGGTTTTGAACTATACGATGCATTTGCAGGTGAGTGTTAACGACTATATTTAATTCCTTATGGGACAATTTCTGACTCATGCACAGAGCTGAGGGTTTTCATGTGGGGAAACAGGAGCCTAAGACACAGAATCTTCTCTCTACAAGTCACAGAGCTGCTCTGTGGCAACTAGTGCAAATTTAGGGTTGCAGTGGTTTCCAGTTCCCCTTCTCGCCTCACTCCATGGGGGATTATATCCAGTAGATACACATGGCATGTTAGGGATTTTCAAATAAAACATTCTTAAAGTAAACCTCTCAATATAGTTTACAGGAACCAAGCCTTCAAGAGGATAGTCAATACCCACAATCAATGGACACAGACCACATGTAATGCATAACCTAGAACTCCTGCAGCCTCAGCTTCTATCATGGTAATAGCCCCTATGCCGGAGTTTAAAGCAAGTGAGTGGGAGTCAAGAGACCTGGATTCTATTCCCTGATATAGTTCTTTAATCTTCTCCCATGTCCTCCTGGTGTTCATTATATAATATGCTTCTGTTCCTTTGGGGAAGTCAGTGAATCAGTTGCTTTTCAATGTATCATAAATTAAAGTTGTTGTTTTAAAACAAGACATTTGCATAAATTCAGTGTTTTCTTCCCTTTCTTTAGTACCAACAACATGTAAACTAATAGGATTCAGAATTTAAATATATGGAAAGAGTCAATTTGCATGAAAGAGAAAACAACTTACTCTGTAGCTTTTTAGTCTTACAACATTCACAGCAATAGGCACAGATTTATCAGTGTTTCAATTTAGTGCTTTTTATGTTTCAGCAAATCAGCAAAGAATTTATAGCCCCCTTTAAGGACACAGAGCACAACAATGTGGTGGTCTCCTATGTCTTGCATGATGTCTCTAGTCAAATGTTCTGTTCTACAAGGAGGAGCTGGGGGAGGGCTTTGGCAGTCAGAGACTTTGGGACAACCAGACTCAAAGCATGGGGTTGCATCCCTGCCCATCCTGGCTATCTTCCATGAACTTATCTAATTCTTTTTAGAACCCAGTTATACTTTTGGCCTTCGCAATATCCCTGCCAACAAGTTCCACAGGTTGACTGGGCGTTGTGTAAAGAAGTACTTCCTATTGTTTGTTTTAAACCTGCTGCCTATTCATTTCATTGGTAACCCTGGTTCTTGTGTTGTGTGATGTTACACCCCATATTCTTCATGGAAATATGGTTATGATATGAATATGGTGGAAATGGGTTTTAACTCTACTGAAGTCACATTTAACAGAAGTCAATGGAGTTAAGTCAGTGTTGCCAACTCATGATTTTGTCACGAGTCTCATGATAATTATTGTTTTCCTTAAAGCCCTTGCTCCTAGAATAAGGTGGAGATGTGATGATTTCAGCCTTCATTCTTAAACAAAAAGTAAGGTTCTAGCCCTTGTGGCTCTGGAGAAAGCTTCGAAATGTGACCAGTGCATGTTAAAGGCTCAAACAGCAGAAGGCAAATAAAAAACACCAAATCTGTTATTTTTATATAATCTCATGATTTGTGGTGAGCCTGACTCATGATTTTTGAACATTTTGGGTTGGTTTACACCAGTTCAAGATCTGGCCCAAAAGATCTGCTATGTAACAAAGTTCTTGAAATTTACTTATGGAAAAGCCTGCTTAATATTCTGTAGTTTTTTTTTTTTTTTGGTGGATATCAGTGCCATTTGCGGAAGCAATAGGAATACACAGCTAACTATCCAAGGTAGGCAAGTACAGAGCAGCATATGTTCCTAATATTGCATAGTCTGCTTATTCAAAAACAAAGCAGGTGACTACCGTAGCAGAAGACAAAGTTTCAGTGGTATGTTTGCTCTCAGCATCTTGCTGTGATTCGTACTCTTTTCCCTCAGAGTTGGCATGTGTAACACTCTCCTACAAACTGTGAAACATCCTTTGTTTTCACTAAATAGGCACAGGAACCAAACATTTGGTGGCTGAATAACTGTCATATTGGAACGGGCAGAGCTAGAGTGCTCAGCACATTGTGTGTAAACAGATTAACACCTGCAAACTCTTTAGATAGGATTGTTTTTACTCAGCTTTTTGGCAGTTGGAGAGCTGAGTGTTTAAGAGGAAGGAAAAGTAGACCTTAGGGAACTGGAATAGGATATTGCTCGCAAAACACGCAGCAGCCACAGAATGAAGTAATCAATTAGCAGGTTTTGTTTTGTCTGCAAATGGACCCCACTTCCTCTAAGGCTAGAGCTATACAACAAGGTGTTAAGTATTTTTCTTTGAAATCACTCTGCTGCAAAATAGAGCCACTAGAGTACCCCATTTAGAGTAAAAAGGAAAAGGAGTACTTGTGGCACCTTAGAGACAAACAAATTTATTGGAGCCTAAGCTTTTATGAGCTTCTGTGCAAGTACCCACATTCAAACCAAAGGTTTCAGAGTAACAGCCATGTTAGTCTGTATTTGCAAAAAGAAAAGGAGTACTTGCGGCACCTTAGAGACTAACCAATTTATTTGAGCATAAGCTTTCATGAGCTACAGCTCCTTCATCGGATGAAGTGAGCTGTAGCTCACGAAAGCTTATGCTCAAATAAATTGGTTAGTCTCTAAGGTGCCACAAGTATTCAAACCAAATTGGCCTGTTGGTGCAGTAGAGTACTACTCAATACGTGAAAGAGTAGCACATTTTAGTTTCCATATTTTATTAGCTGTTGCTGTCTTAGTAGCTGAAGATATGGTCTGGGATGAAACTAAA